TCAACTAAACTTTGTCTGCCATATCCATTGCTGGTAATGCATTTCACTCCATACAGAGCTGATGAGGCTGTTTGGGATACAACAAACATAGTATTGGACAGAACACTATTTGTATAAGCCATTTGTTACAGTTGTTATGGTGAACATAGTGTGGTTGAAATACTATTACATGCTTCTTGATAAACCTTAAGGGACTGAATTAAGAATGCAGTGTTAAAAAATATATTAAGCCTAAGGTGTTATGAAAATTATAGTTAATTCACACTTACAAAGTAGCCACTATAAATAAGTTATTGCAACTTTAATGTGAAGTGTCTTACATTTTGTATACAAAAAAAGTGTAAGATTATTATAAGATACTCAACTAATATTATCTTTAAGAAAATTATCTCTTACCACTATATATCAATGATCTGTTATAACAACACTGGCCAATGCCCTTAAGCATTGTATCTCATCAATGTAAAGACTTTTTGTTTTTGTTGCAATATCCTTTTCAAGCTCTACTTTATTTCCTTCCAGTCTTTGTAAAATATTTTTAGCCTCTTGATGTTTTATGTGAAGTTCCTGAACTGCTTGTTGAAGAGTGGAAACCTGAAACATGTTTACAAAAATTTAGATTCAATTAAAAACAAGGTTGTTATAAATGGTTAAAGATTTTTTTTTAATGTTTTTATACACAAGATTATAGATGAGAATATATCTTTCCCCATGCTACATACATAAATAGATATATATATATATATACATGAAACAAATGTATTTATGGCAAAAAAATATTTTCAACCATAAGTTTCAAAAGTGAGATATACATTTATTGATATACCATTCTAAAGTAAATACTTTTGCTTTGGAAGTAAAAGAAAAAAAAGTTGTATATATAAATTATACACAAAACCTCTGATTAGCTAATATTATTTACTCTTTCTTTCTGTTTTTTAATTTTTTGTTCTTTTTGATTTGTTTTGAATTTTGTACAAAGCTACATGAGGGCTATCTGTCCCTAATTTAGCAGCAATAGACTAGAGAGAAGGCAGTGAATCAATACCACTCACCACCAACTCTTGGGCTACTCTTTTACCAATGAATAGTGTGATTGATTGTCACATTATAGTGGCTCCACACTGAAAGGATGAGCAGGTTCAAAACCACGACTATCAGATTGCGAGTCGAGGGAACCACCAGGCCATTATTCCTTTTACCACAGTTTTAAATTTAGAATAAGTTTGTCTATATTACAATTTTAGAAACTAAATTTAAATAATAAAAAAGGTACACACACACACAACAATAAAGGTGCAGAACCTACTATATTTCAGTTGTTCTCCTATGTCAAAAATGGCTTGGTATATTGCAACCAAACTTTTTGTAAAATACTAAATAAGGTACTGTGAACGTCGTAGGGGTATTGAAAAGTCAATTTGTTTCTTCCATATTTTACATAAGTTAAAAAACATCATAATTCTAGTCTAAGCAATGTTATCATACTTCTTGAAGTTAGCTTTCTTAAAATATCTGGTGTTTCTTTAAAATGCTTAAGAAAACAGGAATTACCAGCCAATAATGGATAAACATTAGATGACTGTAATGTGTAGATACTCGATGTTTTGACACTATACAATCAGTGTCCTCAGGTAGCCAATCCCTGCTTTTCTAATGGTATAATATTTTTTCTTGCTTGCTTACTGAGGGTTGTGTCTTAGTCTAGGCATTATGTAAAGAAAATTTAGTTACACAGAGACTATAAATGTTCACTATATTCTCAAACAAATCTCCATGACAATTTCAAGCTGCAGCTTAACATTTTACATCTCGAACTAATGCAATTAGTCAATGACTACAGTAAATCGTCATGAACCATGTCAGCTAGCCACTAGCTATGCTTATTATCATAACAATGTATAAAGTTGGCTACCATATCAAGTAATTATTTGCCCATACTTGAGGATAAAAAGACCAGTAAACAAAGTAAATAAAAAATTGGGAATTTATAAACCTGCAAATTGAGATCATAATTATAGTAAGGAGACAAGGCTGGAGATACCATATACATTATTTACTCGAACTACAAATCTCTATTTTGGCTCCATGCTGTTACCTATAATTACATTTGGTGGAGTCAAAATAGGGATTTGTAGTTTGAGTAAATAATGTCTACAGTATCTCCAGCCTTGCTTCCTTACATTTTCTATGATCCCTATTTGCAGGTTTTTAAATTCCCAATTTTTTATTTAACTTGTCATATTTAAGTTTGCTCAGCTCATCTTTCTCTTTTTCAGTACTATACCAACACTTGTCTGCTGGCTCAAAGAGATCTACACCAGTCAATGGATGAGCCTGGTAAGGGAGAAATTGCTGCTGAAAACAATTCATTGTACTGGCCCAAGGTGCATCCCTTGCAATGAATGGCTTGAAATTTCCAATAAAGTACTCTAATCAGTTCCAAAGAACAACTTTTTCTGACAGATATATCTGCTACTTTTATATGTTTCAAAGTTGTGTCCTGAAGTGAGAACTTGGCCTTCATATATTCCAATGCAGTTTCACAGTAATTTACATATTCATAGAAAGAGAGCTGGCTTTCTTTGTCAAGCTTTGCGAGGCTTAACTTCTTAACCAATAACCAAGTTCTCATTTTTTAACTGAAGTTTTCTGTTTTTGAAATTCACATCCAAAATATCTGAACAATTTGAAATTGCATGTAGTGTCACATGTCTACTTAACAAATCCTTGAATAAAGCAAATAGGATTCTCTGCAAGCAATGGATGAGTGAGTCCTCAAACTGTAGTATCACATTATACTTGTCAAACATTTGAATACAACTGTTCAGAAATAATGCATATACAACACATCTCATTGTTATACATAACTTGTAAAATATTTCTTACAAATAAGTATTTCCTGGTGATTTGGTGTCAGGTGTGTCCTGTACTTTCTCACTTGCTTTTGGAATTTTGTCTGCTACTTTTTTAGAGGAACCATCCATAGAAGATCCAGATCCCTGCCCAGGAAACACATTGACAGACTACCTCTTCTGCTTAAAAGTTTTTCTTTGCATTTTTCTAAACAACCACTCTCTTTCTCCACTGATACCTTTGATCTGCATAGAACAGACTTTGTCTTCAAATGGATTTTTTGTTTTCTTAATCTTTTTTCTTTTCATCGTGTTTGGCTGCAAAGTAATGCTTCAAAGGTCTCCACTGTTCATTTAATCTCTATAAGCATTTTTCAAGAGACAAGCCAGTGCACACATATTTCAGAATAGTTTAAGTCTTCACATCACATAGATTCTGTAATTTTCCAAGTTCTTGTTTCCTATTTGCACTCTTGTCCAAATAGTAATAAATGTCAACAAGAATTTCATCAAACTGATATTGCAATTTCTTTGGTGCTTTTTTTGCTGCAAATGAAGGAGGTGACATGGGCATCCCCTAATCACAATTTCAGGGTTAAATTTCATAAGATAACCTGCAACACATTTTTTTTCTCCTTATCATCACAGTTGTGTTGTGAACAGCTAACGATACACAATTTTCCACTTTAAGGACTTTGAGGCTAGTTCTTCTGGAAGGAGTCCTGCAATATTCTCACCAGTTGAGATTAAAAAGTAATGCATGTAACACCTTTTCCTTGTTGTCATCAAAGTATGTCACTACAATAAAGTACAGTTTACTGTCAACATCATTACTGCCATTAGTGGACAAGTTGAAAGCCCTAGTTTTAATATTACTCACACTTCGCTTAGTTGCACTGCTGGCCATTTCTGCAACTATTGTATAAGTTTTGGTTCTAAAGCATCCATATCTTTAAGTGATTTACAAATCTGGAAATATTTTGGTAAAAATGTTTCAAGCATGGTCTGAAACTGCCAAAGGAAGATTGAAGGAGTTGAATAAACATTCTGCTCTGATCACATCATTTTTTGATTTAGTATTAAATTTTATGAAAAATAAGGCCAGATTATTAATTCCAGATGCCTTCAAACAATTTTGCTGGTGTTTAGTAGTGTTGAGATGTTTTCATCACAAACACAAATTGTATATCTTGCATAATTCAAACCCTCTAAGGATGATACAATATCACTGAACCTTTTTTGAATACTCATGCCTAAACTTCTGCTTGCTATAAACTTTTCTTTGTTGGAGTAATTGGGGACGAAGCAAAACTAAGTTTTTCTGCCATTTACCTCTCACAAAATGATCAGCACACCTTACTACCTACACACTTTTTTAACAGACTGTTTCAAACATTTGTAAGATCGAGATGCAAAGCAAAGAGTGGTGAATTATTTCCAGCAAATTATTAGTAGAAAAAAAGATTGGTGAAAAAATTCCAGAACTTCTCTTAAGATAATAAAATAACAGAACAATTCATACAGGCATAAAATGAAAAACAAATTGGAACAATTATGCCTAACTTGTAAGAGTTGGCAGGTCTGGGTATAAGCTGATGGGCTGTCTTTAGTGGCAAATATTTGATTATTTCATGCACAGTGGTTAGGCTTAAAACACACATTCTAAATATGCATTTCTCTCTTTTTTTATTAATGATTTTTAGGCAATAGATGATGAAAAACTTATATTTGAAATGTTGTTAATCATTTTTGAAGTGGTTATGTTAATGATGGAACTAAGAAAATTTTTAAACATTTAATTTTAGATATCTGCCAAACAAGTTGAGTTAACAATATCATTCCAACAATAGTCACCTAATACCTGTTCATTTTCAGGCAGAGGTGCATAATTCAAACTGTTACCGATCAGTGTTTCCAAGTCACCATATTTTCAATTTTATGCAAACCACATTTTCTTGAAATTATTTTTCACAAAACTGAAATAAACACAATGTTACAGCTTGTCATCAATAAGAATGAGGGATGTGGGAAAAATGGGGTTACACTTTCAAGAACTTTTCCAGAACATGATAAAAACCATCGATTTTCCAGGATTTCCAGTAGAGGAAAATGTATTCAAAAATTTCCACAACTTTTCATGATTTTGATGAGCTGTGCAAACCTGTTTGTTATAATCATGATGTATTAGGATCGTAATGAAGCTATTTGTAAAATGTATGAGTTTAAAACTTAATATTTTTGTCATGTTTCAATGTATATAAAAGAAAGATAAGCTAATGGTCTAGCTAATATTCTACTATAACATTAATTTCATATCAGGTAAACTTATCCTTTCTTCTTCTGTTAACAAAAATGTGAATTTTGTCCTTCTTAATGTCCTTCACACAATGTATCAAATTCATTACCTTATCCAAAGTTCTCCACCCACTCTTAAAATTATCCATGTGACTTATTATGGAAGCACCATGGAAAATACATAAGCTCTGCATTTCATTCACAAGTCAGGTTATTTTTGTTTGCATTCATGCTGTATACTTTGTGCCTTCACAATTCTTGATGTAAATATTAATCTGAATGTTAACCTTGGTCAATACAGAAAATTCTAAAATCTTTCAAATTTTTTGGAGGTCTTATTCAAACAATATTCTTCTAGTGTGCAGGGATATTTTGTAACTGCTTTGTCAACTCTCATTCATCAGGGTATAAAAATTGTTAAGACCAACTCATCTGTTGGTGTCCCAGCTTAGTTTCCCTTTGATGTGTATGCTCATTTTGAGGGACACCCACCTTTTTCTTACACTGATGAACAATCCCAATTTTTTGCACAGGCCTATATGCTTTTTCTTTACTGAAGTGCAAGATTTTTCTGCTAGCTTTATTTTACTTTTTCCTCAGGTATAAAGTCTTCAACTGATTTCTAATACACCTAAGGGTGTTAGTGTTATGTTAGATGATTCAGTTTTTGAATCTTTGTATTTTCTGCCTTCTCCTAATATTTGGGTTGTTTATTTATTTATGGGATATGTCTACTTAACAGGAAGCTTGAAAAGAAATTTATTGTGGAATAAAAATAAAATAAAGAGATTTGACACAAAGTAAGATATATGAAATGAAAAATCTTTATTAAAACAAACTTAATATAAACTTACTTTTATGGAATGATGGACCATTGCTTTTAGTGGATTCTCTACATCTTCTCTCAGATTACTCATTTGATAAGATTTTTAGAAGATTATCTAAATCCAACATTCCTTGTTGTATTTACCCAAAGTGACTAGGGCTACTCATGTGACTGCTCATTCTCATTCAAACACACTTGAGGCTATAACCTCAAAGTACCACCTTCTCTTCTACTGAATGGTACTGTTGTTGACATTTTTCATAACATGCAGCATTACAGCAATAGCTCCCAGGGGCAGAACAGGTATCATCTTCAGAGAATAAGAAATTAATAAAGGCAGCTAGTAGAAGTGAACTTAATGGCTTTCTCAACCATGTGTTATGTGAAACCTGCACACATACAGAATAAATACTATAATAATACAAGATAGCAATGCATGGTAAATTTATATAGCACAGTGGTTTGTCTCATCTGAAGACTTTCTTATTCAGTACAGTTACTGGCTAATAGATAATCATTCTCCTGATTCTATTTAATGATGATCAATTTTCTACTTTGCAGTCTTTCCTGTTTGCAGCTCTCACTGATTTAGTATTTTGTTACCATGTGGCTTCTACATTCCTTTGACCCCTCTAACATGTCTAATGCCTATTGCTCTGCTTGTTGTTTGTAGTCATGCACAAAGCTACACAATGGGCTATTTGTGCTCTGCTCACCACGGGTATTGAAACCCGGTTTCTAGCATTGTAAGTCTGCAGACATACCGCTGTGCCACTGGGGGGCCTGCTTGTTGTCTCCAATCAATGTTGTTGTAGTCTAGGTATGTTACTTTTCCTGTCCCAGAGCTCAATATGCAGTGATCTAGTTGCCTTATATTTAGTTCCTTCCTTCATCTCGATGTTGATATTCTGGCTAATAGTATTTCAAAGGTAAGTCTATCTAGTTTGGAATTTACATTTTTAGAATAAAACTGAATTTCACTCAAGTACCTCTAAAATACATTTTCAACCACCTCTCCATAACCAGGAGAAATGTGTTAAGACTTCATGACTGCAAACAAAGAAATTTAGCTTTTGGAGGGAAAAAAAGAACTTATGTAATTTTCTAGGTGTTTGTGCAATAAGTCATGTGGAAGGCGTGGGAGTCAACAACCCTGGATTACATGATGAATGTAATGCATCATGTCAAAGGCATTCAGAACCAAAAATCACACGGTTGTCGACAGAACCAGAAAAACCTAACATAAAAAAAATCTTATAGTACTTCAGAGTTAAGTACCTGCTTGAAATTAATTTTAATTCTTAAAGTATAAAATTAATGTTGAGATTATTAAGAAACTGACATATATCTGCAAATTCTCTAAAGTATTGTCGACATAACTACAATAATATTATGGTTTGAAGGACTGTCAAGAAAACAAAGGAATAGATAACCTAGGAAATAATTTTGTCTTGAAACAATAATACCACCATCAACCTGTTCATGCAGAATGATGTCAAACTGAAAATATTTTCCTTTTCTTGGTACAATTCACAGGTTCAAGAGCATATACTTAGAAAACACGTTATTGTTTCTTCTTTAGCAAAATGCTACACAATGACTACCACACAGAATCTAACCTTAGATTTTTACTTTGTAAATCTTTAAACTTACTGTTGACTCATTGGGAGATGGCACATCATTTTTTCTCTTTGGAAACAACAAATTAGTATTTAGCAGTAATATACTACCAAATTTTAAATTCTATATTTCTCATTAAAAATAAAAACTATCTTTCAAGATTACTTTTCTTATCATAAAATATTCCACAGATGTAATTATAAACTATGTAAGTTCATGATTATAAGTGCAATAATTGTACAACTTCTGATGGGTCCTTGAAAGATGAACTTTATATAAAATGTACACATAGTCAAACTGTTTTAATCATCACATCCAGCTACAAAGAAGTGGACATTTTTCATACCAAAATGATTCGAGTATTATGGCTTTTTTTCTATTTTTTTAAATTTGTAGTTACCACAAGATTTGTTTGTTACATCTTATCCATCAAAGATGATTTTGTTTATCAAAAGCTGGGAATGTAAAATGTCTCTCACTTAATATAGCCCTGAGGGCTAAACAAGTTATGTATATTTTATGTGTACCGTTTGAAGTTTTAAGGGTAAGAAAGTTTTTACCAAATTGCACATTGCAATAAAATATAAACGTCCTTTATGTTGGTTTACAGGCACCTTAAAAACATTATTCATATTCTCATGTTGAAATAATCTGTTTATTAATAAATTACGCTTTTTTAAACACGTTTGCTGCCATATGCCCCAATGGTGGATCACAATTGAGTTTTAGTTAAGGATCATGTGACACACCGGTGGGTCACAGACAATTAAGTTTCAAAGCCAAATTTCTCTTGTGGCATGTGAGTTTGGGACACTGTGACTGCTCCTTGGGACCTCTTGAATAATTAATTTTATTTATACTTAATTTATTATATGGCATCAAATGTGTTAAAGCTTTAAAAAGTAGTTTGGAAATTTTCTCTTTAGTTTTAGCAAAAATCATAATTTAATTTTATATACATGGTCATGTCATTCAAACTAATAGTTTTACTTTTGTTAATGCACATGTACTCTGATTTTTCATTTCTTTTATCAGATGTATGTGATTATCACCTGAGAATGTTTTTGTGATAGTACAAAACAAAGCTTTAATAAACTGAAAACAATTTAGAAGTGTAATGAAAAGTATTTTATGTAGAGAACATACTACATGGGTTATATGCAGGCAGAACACATTTTCTACCTGTTTTAGTGACTCAGAAGATTTTGAAATGGTTTGGTTGTTTAGTTTCTGTCTGTAATTGTAACTACAAATGGTAGAGAAAGCCATTAAGATTGCTTTGTTCTAGTTGCTTTGTTTTCTGTAGTAGGTGATGTCTCTTCTGTCATAGAAGATATTACAAAAATGTGTATCATTCAGTTTAAAATACAGGCACTGTAATATCCTTTGCTGGCTAATTATGCCATTTACCGAAAGTAACAGCTGGCCTATGCTATGAGGGAACAAGGTCATGAAGTGACACTGTAAAATGGACAAAGAAAGTGAGTTTACCTGTTGAATGCTGGTGGGCTTTGATTAGTCAGTTTTACTAAGAAATTATAAAGACTTATTTTTAAGGTCATTGTGTTTAATTCTGTGAAAAAGAAAGCTTTGAGATTAAGCACAATCTAGTAGAAGTGACTGTCTTTTTTGTGTGCAAGTACATACATTAACATTTCCCAAACTTGTATCACCCACACCCTCCCTTCAATAAATATGGCTTTTTTGCATGCCCCCTCCCTTAAATGAGTGAACGAGTTAGTTAAGTGATGATATATCATACATGGAAACACATTAAAATGCCATATGTGTTGTAGAGATTACATATTATTTTCATTAATAAAAAATATATTAAAATACTAAACTTTGCATTATTTCACAATTAACTCTACCCTAATTGCTTATGCCCTCCAAGAGATCATTTGTGTCCCCCTGGGGGACATGGCCAAAACTTTGGGAAATGCTGAGAACACTATATCTTCTTTTTTGTCTGTTTTATAATAAAGATTTTTGTCATTTTTTTTCTAACTTTGTTCAGTTTTATTATTTTACATACACTGAACAAGTCTATAGTTATTTGCAGCTCTGTCTATTTGATACTTGTTAGGAAATCAGCAGTTTTAACCTGAAAATACCAAAAGTGTAAATAAAACATTGGTTTGTTTTCTTCTTCAAGCTTGTGAGCTTCACAATAATCTTACGGCTCAAGTTTCTTTATGGACGTTGGAGATTTTAACTGTATTGTTTATCTTCATTTTGAAAAGAATAATTTTCTTCTTAGAGATAGTGCAAAATGGAAGTACAATAAAACTGGGTCTGTATGCCTAATGAAATAGTGTTTGTATATATACTGTTGATAAACTAAAGTTAAAAAATAACTGCCATAGAAAATGCTGGTAGAACATGCATTACTGTTAAATATACAAGCAAAAGAATCATGCAGATCATGCAATTTCTCTTCATGTAAGTACAACCTAGAAAGATTATCTTATTTACAAAGTTAATATATGTAGACATACTTCTTTCTCCAGCTCAAGTTCAACCTTATCCATACAAATTTCCAAATTTTGGCATTGTTTACGAAGTTCCAGTTTGTGACAAGCAAGATTCAAGGAAGGCTTTTTAGCTTTCTCTTCTTCCTCCAGTATTGCAAGAGCATATCTAATTTCTCCAATTTCTTCTATTACCTTAATGTAAGAAAAATCAATATAATTATAAGCATTGAAGCATTTAATATAATTTAAGAATATATATATATATATTTTTTTCAAATAAAGAACCAATTTGTAATCAACCAAAAACACATGAACAAAGTCTATCATTGGAGTTAAATTGGTGTGAACTAATGAGAATCTCCATTTAATACATTTTTTTTAGAATGTTGTTCTGAAAACAACTAATCATTATGGTATCATTATCATATATCTTGCCTGAATGTCAGTTTTCCACTTTTAACAGTTGTTGCTATCTAGCACTTAGTGGATGTTTCCAAAATTAATGTGAAGTGTCAAAAAAATTTTAAATACAGAATGCATACTAAATAACATTTATAAAAATGACAAAAGAATGATGTAAACTAGATATTATTGGTTTTATTTCCAATGTTTCAGACTCTTCACAAAGATCTACAATATAACACAACAAGCAAAACTATCCGTCCCCTGTGACAGGAAAAGTTAATCTATGAATTCAAATTATCTTACGGGCTTTAAAAAGGTTAATTGTGTTGCACTCTTTGTTTCATTCAAAGCCAAAGCTCTGAGCTACTTATACTGTCCACTGCAAAACTAACTGTTGAGCATTTCAGTCATGCTAATAGCCACTCAACAATAACATACAGTAAATCTACATTTTTATTCATTAAATTACGTCATATTTTGAGACGTGGATGATAGTGTGATTAATTCCTAACAATTTAGTGTAGAATATTCTGCTTGTGAAATAAAATTTGGTATCAACATTATTCATGCCAGTTCTCATGTCATGTTAAAAGTGAGTGTTGAGCTTTGCCTGCATGTGCAGTTTTCAAGTGGGAGACAGAAGAATGTTTAGACAGACACCATGGTTCACAATATATATAAGATAACAATTCAAAGGTACAGAACAAAATAACATAAAATATCATATAATGTTGAAATGTCACTTTGATTTTGCTTGTTTTGAATTTGGCACAAAGCTACACAAGGGCTATCTGCACTAGCCATCCATAATTTAGCAGTGTAAGACTAGAGGAAGGCAGCTAATCATCACCACCCACCGCCAACTCTTGGGCTACTCTTTAACCAACAAATAGTGGGATTGACCGTCACTTTATAATGCCCCACGGCTGAAAGGGCGAGCATATTTGGTGGGATGGGGATTCAAACCTGCGAGTCGAGCGCTTTAACCACCTGGCCATGCTGGGCACATCAGTTTGATAGTCAGCTTTAAGGGTACTTCTTGTCTCACTGTTATTAATTAGGAATACATTTTTAAACCTTAATTTTGACCCTTTTGTACAAAAAAAAAATATTAAACTAAAAAACACAGTTATCCCAGCAAACCTTTAGTGAGTAATTATATAAAAATAAAAGTTATGTAGGTAAAATGGTAAATAATCAAATAATTTATTAAAGAAAAAAAAAGCAAATCTAAATATTAAACAATTATTCAAGAAGAAACAGCTCAGTGCAGTTTTTATTCCTGGATATAAATTAGCTTGTTTTACTCGCTGTCTGAAGGAGGAGGAATGTCTGGTCGGTATTACATGACTGTTCTCATAATACTTGGCCCATGCATGTTGTTATTCATTTGAGCTTTGTGTTGCCTTAATGTGTTCATGAATTCTCTCTCTCTTATAGATCTGTCATATACCATACCACAGTCAAAACAACTGAAACAATAAATGACATTCTTTATCCAACATATTCCACTATTCCTTATCCAACATATTCCACCATTCTTTATCCAACATATTCCACAATTCTTTATCCAACATATTCCACTATTCTTTATCCAACATATTCCACAATTCTTTATCCAACATATTCCAATATTCTTTATCCAACATATTCCACAATTCTTTATCCAACATATTCCACTATTCTTTATCCAACATATTCCACAATTCTTTATCCAACATATTCCACTATTCTTTATCCAACATATTCCACCATTCTTTATCCAACATATTCCACCATTCTTTATCCAACATATTCCACAATTCTTTATCCAACATATTCCACAATTCTTTATCCAACATATTCCACAATTCTTTATCCAACATATTCCACCATTCTTTATCCAACATATTCCAATATTCTTTATCCAACATATTCCACAATTCTTTATCCAACATATTCCACTAAACATTCTAAACTGTAACATTCCTAGATGCTTCTGAAGATGTTTTGGTTATTGGAATAAGACCTCATCAATAATCATTTTAACCTCATACCTGGGTTTTAAACACCAATATATTTAAGTTGGCTTGTATAACATGTCATAATGTGCCAGAAAACATTGGACTGATATAAGATGGATAAGTAGAACTGTCAAAAATCTGATCCTGCTTTTCGGTGTGCTTTCATGGAGAACAATGGATTTAAGTTTGGTGATTATATTAGAATCACACAGATGATCGGTCACTCACATTTTCAATGTATTTTTCCTTATCTAACACAACAACCCTCTTATTATTACCAGATGTTTCTACAATTCATTCACCACTTTTCTTATGTTTACAAATAGCATGATACTCATTTAGAGCAAAGTTTTAACCCTTCATTGCAACAACGTTTATTCCCTTTGTGGAACATTGTCTATTGTAATGTTCTTATACTATACTGTTGCAGAGTTAACTCTACACAACTTCAAAGCCATCAAAACAGGTTATGGTTTGAGTGTAAAACCCTTTGTTTTGTGATATCACATTCATTCATCTTTTAGTAGTGCTCAAAAGTTGCTTGCACAACATTTTCAGGCTACTGTAGCTACATAATTTATTCATCTTGATATGCGTACATGCAGTCCACACTTCATGGGCATCCAATATTTAAAAGTTATTAGGGACAGATGGGCTTCTTTAATATTTGCTGCATTTAAGATTTATTCCAAAACTTCTTTGAAAGCATGTTATTTTGCTAAAGATATGCTGTAATCACATGAATTTTGTCATGTGATCTAAACATATAACTACTAGAAAACTTTTGGATTTCTTTAAGATGCATTAAATGTATAGCCAAGACAAATACAGAGGTTGAGTATGTTATATAAAAATTATTTTAGAGCTTCACCATAATTTTATAGTTCATTCATGTTGCCACATCCAGTCATGCTCTGTCTACAGACCATGCACCTTGACAATAGTCTTGCAGCATAGTTTCTATTGCAAGAGACTTTGTTGTTCAGTTGTCATACTCAAAGCATACTGTTCATTCCTGACTCCTTTCTATAATCCATCTGGTGTACAAGGATGGAAGTTTCTAAGGGCTCATTCTAACAACTTAATCACACAGAAATCAACATTTGCTACTTCTGGCAATTTAACCAATATGTCTTCTCATGAAATAGCACAAATGTCCTTTTCATTCTCTGGCTGTTTGAGGTATGCAATAGTTGAGTGAACGTATGACTGGAAACCTTATCTTGGTGAACCCATTCTCTGTTGACCTCTTTTCATAAAGGTATCCTTTTTATTCATTTTGTGTACCATTGCCAGGGCCACATGGATGGCTTTTGCCACTGACTTTTATATTTGTGGACCTTCACTTGTTACAGAATGCTGCACTTTGCTTACCATGGCTGGAGAAAAATCAGTTGCAGGTCTCTTTCTGGATGGTCCTGGTACCCAAAGTTGATCCATATTCCTTTGTTTTCCAATACCTTTATGTACAAAAGATATCTATATTTTGGATATTCTGAACACACCATTATGATTTGAAGGTAAGAATGTTTTCCACTGGAAAAGGATGTTACATACCTTTCCCAAAAGCAGTTAATATTTGGTGGCATCACACTACCTACAAAACACCAGAAAATATAAAAATGTAGTTCTTGTACATGCATTCTACTGCAACTTTATACTGGATGGTTGTCAAGTATCTTGGTGACTTGCATATTCAAAATAAACCTTTCTTAATGAAAATGACAAGGGTAGTGTGTCTCAGTGGCTTCATACTTTGGACTCGAAGTTGGATGGTTGCAAGTTGGAGGCTGGCTCACATAATGGTGTTGCGTCCTTGAGCAAGATACCTTACCCCACTTGTTCCAGTCTATCTGGCTGTTTAATGGAAACCAGCTGTTATGAAGGTTAACCTGCAATGGTCTGGCATCCTGTGCAAGAGAATGGGTCACTATCCTCATCCACTTGTGCCACTTGAAACCAGAGTTTGAAAGCACCAGCACTATGTGACTTGCAAAAGCATAGCAAGGATTTAACTTTTTAAAAATTTAAAATAAAAATCCTGAAAATTTAGGGATATTCACGTTAAAGAAAAATTAAAACTATTATGTTTATTTACAGAATTTAATGTTTTATACAACAGAAACACTCATGGTATAAATTCCTTAAACACAAAACTACCAGTAATTACAACACACACTAAACATACAAGGCTAAAAAATTCTATGCAGTGATAAGCTACTTGTGAATTTATGCTCGAGTACAAATTTCAGTAAAATCAATTCTGAATACCAACAAGTTTAAGGAATACACATAAATGTATTTGCAAGATATCAGTTTGTAATCATCTGTATGTTCCATGGCTTGAGTACAAATCCATGAACATTATCTATTTTATCATGTCTAGGATATTCTATAATAGCCTAAGAAGTATAAAGTCTATTGTACAGTGGGAAAACAACTATATTTCATATGTCCATAACTATAACTATTTTGGAAAATTGTTCAAAATATTTGTGCAGCAGATGTTCTGTATATAGTTAGTAGCAACTTGTAAATCAGATGTAAGATATCATAACCTTGTGTTAATCCTCTTGCTTAGAAATAGGTTAAATACTATAACAATTTTTTATAAGGCTTATATTCACTTGGCCCTGTTGCTGGATAATTTTCTTCTGGAATGGGGTTATACTCATTTCAGGAGTGATATACTCGAGCAAGTTATTCTGAGTTGAGGGCTTACCTCACTTGAATATGTATAATGGGAATAATCACTGACATATGTAATCTAAGAATTGTGGGATACTGCAATGGGTCTTTGGTCTAACCTAACAGTATGATACCATCATTATTCTGATTTTGGTATCTGTCCTGTGTAGACATCTTAGTTTCACCCTGCTCTCTTACTTCAGCTGACCAAAAGTATCTCGAATGAATCTAAACAATGTCCAGTTAAGCAGATATTCACACTGATCACAAAAAGTTTGTCTAATTATACACCTGTGTTTGCTTGTTTTTCCTTTGTTGCCAGTGTTCATTTTATTCCATGCCTTACATTCCAAAAAACTTGCTATATTGTGGATACTTTATACTTTTCTGTTGGATATAAATGTACCTGAATATCAGACTAGGTTATTAAGTTAACTTTAGATGTATGTTTAGTAGGTACTTTAAACTTATATGTTGGATATCAGTGTATGTCATTATAATACAAGATCAAGCATGACCAGTAATTAATAAATCAATATTAAAAAAAGGTTACAGATGATTGTTGACAATAAATAAATTCTGATGATAAAATTTTAAATCAATACATTTTAGCCTGATAGAAAAATTTAAAAGTAAAATACAAAATAACAGATGGCTATGCCTAATAAAAATATAGCTGCATTTTTAAATATGAAAGATCCATCATAAAATGTAACAAAGAAAAAACTTCAGTAAGAAAATGTCGGGAAACAGAAAATTTTCAAGTTTCATAGTGATAGCTGTCAAGGTCCTTTTCAGATTTTCTCCTCTTTGAGCAAATCTTTGTAGAAGGCCTCTTTGACCTTTTATAACTCACTCCTAATCCAGGAATCCTGCTAGAAATGACTGGTAAACTGCCAACTTTTGATCATTGGCCTTCTGCTTTCCTATTGCATCTGGTCCCAGGCCTCAGTGTAGCTTCTATCTGTCAATGATCTAGCACTTATGTCCAATGAACTCAAATGGGGCAAGTGCCATCAACTACAATGAAGTAATTAATGAATTTCACCCCTGAAAGCCAGGAAACAACTGTTCTTTATAAATAAAAATCTTTAGTGTCTGTGGTAATTACTTAGAATTAATTATCAGCTGTTGTCTTTTACTGTCTTAGATTACCTATATCTATATAATTCATTGCAATGCAAACTGAAATACATGTTGATTTAATTTGGGTACCTAACTATGTACTGGTCTTGACAATTTTATGATTTTCTCTCTTATAATCTATATGTAAATCTGGCCATTGATGTTTCTAATTTTATGTTATTTTCATCTTGAGTATCAATAATGCTTCTTCAATGCTAAAATGAAAAATGTCAGTTAATAATTTTTTCTTTGTGATTAATATACATTTTCCTTTCTAAGATTTATTGTGACTGATTTATTATAATAAATTTGGGCTACTTGCAATAGAAGCCCATGTGTGATATTACTTGTAAGCCTCTTTTTTAATGATAATGTACCCACTGTATAATGTTCATCCTTAATGAGAGTATGCTGGACACAAATTAGCTCGAAATAGCTCTGTACCATTGTCGTCAACCTCTGAAACCTTTAGTTGCACTATCTTCTACCATACCGCCATCTCTCTCTAAAACCCCATTGAAGGAGGTCAAACCAATTCCCAGCCAGGATTTACCCAGGCTGATGCTTTATTCCTCTAATCATGAGGCTAGATACAATTTGTTAAGAAACTAAGAATTGAATGTTTCATGATTACAATATTACAATTTAAGTAGTATACTAAAGAGGGTATAAAAAGAAGAAGAATAACAAAACAAAAAACAATGAAGCTAAAATTCCACAGAATCAAATCTTTAGTCATTCCATCAAAATATTCTTTGTTACTCAATCTGTCCCATTCAAGTATAATGATTTAAATATATCACAAACTGTAAAAACTGAGTTAACTTAAAAGCAATAGGACAGGTCCACAGAATAACATGTTCAACCAGGAAAAATATCACAATGTAAATCTGAATCCTCTGACTGAGCTTGTGATAAAAAAAAGAGACTGAACAAATTTGCAAAAATACAATGAAACAACCTTTATTCAACCTCATAAATACAATAAAAACATATTCGTAGGGAATGAAAGACAGCATCCTTAATTTATTGTTGACTCTCTTAAGAACTTATCAAGATGTTTAATAAGAAGTACTATATAAAAAGAAAAGACCTCAACTTCATTTACCAAACTGAAGACCTGAGCTTGAGAGAGAGAGAAAACTACTGAAGAGATCACAGTATCTAAACCCAAGTTCTATAATACTATATTCTCAGAACATCTGAACTACGCAAGTCTCTGTTGGTCTTTGCCATTAAAACATAAGAGAGATATCACTGAAGGACATTGATGTAAACATCTCTGCACAACTTGCAGCATAACAACAATAAATTCCACAAGCAGAACAGGTATTGTCTCCTAGAGAATAACAAAGGCAACTAAAATGAAATGAAGTTAGTGGCATAACCATGTGTAATGTGAAACGTTTACATTCACAGAATAAATACTTATAATAATACAAGAAGATAAAAAAGCATGGTATATTCATTTACCACAAAGTAGTCTCTGTCGTATGTAACTTATCCAAGGCTAGGAGTAGCACCAATTAGTTGAATATGTTCTATTCATAAGAACAACTAAATGGATACAAAACACCTACATGAAATGTTTGAAATATTTTACTTAAATGAATATAGATAAATTCATATTCTAGTTACGAATGGATGAAATTCCGACAATTCTTAATAATAACCATAAGCCACAATAACCTTCCATATTAGTTAGTTTCCTCATAAAACAAAATAAATATGTGTGATTGTCTTTGGAACATGTAAAAGCTTAAGATGATTTTCTTTACTTCAATTTATATAAGACGTTTCAATATGTTTGACACCTTCCATTGCATATACTTCCCATCAACAATATTTTTTTGGCTAAGAATGGGTAGCAGCATTAAACACCATTTATCATATCTTAAAATGAACTTTGTGTATACATACCTTTGTAATACGCATCTCTAACAGTTTCTTAGCTTGCACTGTTTCCATAATTCTGTTTTGGAATGATAAGACAACTCTTTTATGTTGCAACTGTGAGTCTCTAGTTGTTTGCTTCATAATGCTTTCTACCAAAGGATGAAAATCTTGAGATTTCTTTCGATGTTTCTTTCCTTTTTGTATGGCCTGAAGTATTATGCTTTCCCATTCACTTTCTGTGACAAACTGACTAAAATAACAGTTTTTTTTTCACTTATTCTAGATATAAATATGCTTTACATTATGTATATAAACAGAATACACTTCTACAGAAAGTTCTTCTGAATTCACAAAACTACAAAAAACAAAACTAAATTGTATAATTAGCCAACTGAAAAACATCAGAGAACAGAGAGAATCAAACTTGAAAGGCAAATGCTCTATGACATTACTAGTTTACATTTAAATTAAAAAAAAAAAAGACTCAAAAATTGAGTGCTTTCAAATAGTTGACTATTCTTCTTCAGCAGAACAGTCAACTATTTAAAAGCACTTGATTTTTGGGTCTGTTTTTAAAATTCATTGTACTTTTTTTGTATGATCCTGTGTACTAACTATTTTATCATTATTACTCACAATACTGATTTTATAAATTTAAATCAGAGACATACAAGTACAACAAACATCCCAGACTCACATTATTAAGACCAATCACTGCTAAATGTCTTTGGATTTAAAGGAGGATCATAAATCTAACATATTTTTCTTTGTACTGTAGTGTAGGTGGAATTCAGAGACAATTATTGAAATGCCTATTAATGAGGGATAGGCAACGATTGGTGGTAGCAGCAACGCAATCAACCCAAACAGGAAATGTATGCATTAGTAGAGAAATGTGAGGAAAAAGCAAGATTCTTTGATACCTGAAAGGCAGGTCTACTTCTTAACGTACACACACCAAGGTAAACATTAACACTACTGCAACAGCACATGTTCAGTCCTTACAACAAGAATGGACATACTAACATCACCTTTCCAATGGATCATAGACCTGAAATTAGAACTTTTCATATTTGACTCCATATTGCATTAAATGATCCCAATTGGTGCCTATAATTCTGCACAGTGTTGTTAAACTAGTTGCATGAGGATCTCATGCCTCATTGTTCAAATTTTATGGTCTGATAAGGCTATTTCTAAACTGTATGTATTAGGTAGACATCAATCTTCACATAATATTGGAATAACAATTGAACCTACCAAGAATATCTTCTTTGGGTTATATGCATAATTTCATGTCTTTACCTTTTCACTTAAGCTTATTTTTAATGTTTTATTTTCCTTTCCCATTTTCTATAATTGATTATTAATGTCAACAGGTGCTGGCAGGCCATGTTACATTATCCTAAGCAGAAACACTTGAGCCTCTACAAAACTTTTTGCATTCGCTTAGAATTTTAAACCTTGTTGAGCAAGGAAGTTTTACTTATTTTATAACAATTATTAAACCTTTCAAATATGAACTTTAAAACACAAATAATACATAATTAACTGAAATATAAAAGTAAAACCTAAATGGAATTTAACTGTCTGTCAAACTAATATGTATAAGGCAAGAAAAACTCTGTGTAGCGGTTGTACGCCTTCCTAGTCAACAGTTATATTGTGCATATGGGAAATATACTGTCAAATCAGCTCTTTGTATTGGTTATAAGCACACCATTCAAGTCTAATCTGTTGCTAAGCAACAGTCCTTTTTAATTTTTTAGTGGGTGTGGCTCCTATTGGTGGGGGAGAATTTTTACAACATCATTCTTGGAACTTGCCCTAGTTAATGGTAGACATGCAGTATATGTATGTACTTTGATCATCTGGGCAAAACCTTTACCAAGGCACAGTAGAGTTGAAATAGAAGAAACAAAAGCTGAAGTTTTAATTATTATTTTAGATATTTAATTAAATTTTAAATGTAACTCAGTAACATGTGCAGAAAGGAGATTAAAAAGTGCATTATCCTTAAAGGGTTAAAGGTCACACTGTTACTGTAATGGCAACAAATATTCATGGAATATGTCAGAACTATGGTTTGGATACAGTAGAAGTGGCAAAGGAGCTGCAGGATTTCCAAGAGGCATACAGTCTGCCAAGAAGAAGCTGTCAGCAAAACTCGGCATGTTGACATTGAAGATGCTCCTGAGAAAGACAATGAAGATGAATATCAAAATTTTGAAGATCCAGCACACCAGGAGAGGAAGTGGCACAACAACAGCTTTATCAAACCACTGCATCTAGTCACTCAGCTCTCCAGATATCCAAACCTGTTCTTACTCTACAGTATCCTTATATGCTTGACAGTGTCAAATGCATCTGCAGAGAAGGCACTGAACAAACTCAGAATTGTGAAAAACAGGCTGCAACCCACCATGACTGATGATCTGTTGTCATCACTGCTTGTTTTAACAGCAGAAAAAGACATTCTGTTCAAACTTAAAACAGAAGACATAATCAATGAGATATCACCATCTCTGAGAAAATGTTTAACTCATTTTTGATTAAGCCAGTTACAGTCAGATGCTGCTCAGATGAGAGAAATATCAGGCTTTTTAAAAAAGTGTATTACAATGAAAAATCAAAATATTATAAAAATAAAAGTCAAATTTCTTTTTTGCTTTTATATTTTTCAGAAACTGACATTTTGTGGATTTGCTGTTTGCCCTGTAATTCTTTGAATTAATATTGTTTGTGTTATGAAATTACTGAATTTTTTTTTGCATATTACTTGACATGAAAGTCTGATGATATCATATTCAGTGACAAAAATAATAATCAAAAACTTCAGTAATTATGATTCTAATATGTATTGTAGCAGTAATGTCAGAATGTTTTTATATAATATTACTGGTACCATTTAATTGCTACAATAAATAATAGCATTGGATTATGATCATTTCATTATGTATGGATAAAACATAATCATCAAAGTAATAAACTGTTAACCTAAACTTATTAATTTTTGTCATGTAATGTACACAATCTTTAAGTCTTTATTGCAAAATATACCATGCCACTTGCAATCAATGCATAGCATTGCATACATGTACTGCTGAGTGCAAGTTACAACTTATAATCCAGAAGTTTAATCAAATTTCAAGAAGAAAACAAATTAAAATAATAATACAAGAACAAAAAAATTGCACTTATATTAAAAGAGTCCCACCATTCCGAGTCAGAAATCTCCTGAAACCCAGACCTACAATTACATTGATGGGCTATGGTGGCAGACCTCTAGCTTTTATTATAACATAGTGCAGATAAACAGTTAAACTTTTGGCAGCCTGCAATGGAGGGGAGTGAGAGCTGCATTCATGTTATGAGGTTCTATAGTTTCCACCACCAACAAGGAGGACCATCATATCCTGAAGATATTAAAGACACAGAAGATTGGAGGCAGAAGGACAAAGGAGAAAGAGGAGGTGGAGTATGAATGTGCAGGGATAGACCATAAGAAAGAACTTGCACAACTAAGTGTCACTGGGGAAGGGAAACCACAGATGGGTGAAGCAGGAGTGAGAGGGGCATTTGGCTGGCCCAGAGTCCAGAATTGACTCCATAAATGAATCACTGCTGCAATCTCTGACAGCCTGCTCTACTGGATGGGGGACAGCTAACTGAAGCTATTGAATGGAGAACAGGAGAGGGGCTAGCCAATGTGACTTCCTTGGATGAGTACCAGACTGAGGTAGCTGTGTTAGAAAATCAGAGAAACAATGAAAAACTGCTGGTGAGCAGCCTCATACTGGAATTCCAAGGAGTTAGGAACACCCCCAAAGACTTCGTCTGTAAGAAAAGGGGAAAGACAAAGATCATGGAGATAAGAGGAAAGAAGGCAGATACCCAAAAGGAAATCATGCCGACTGAGGAGATCCCCCCCCCCAAAAAAAAAACAAAAAGAAAAAAAGAAGTCAAAATAGAGACAATAGAGAAAGAAACAGAAGCCAAGGTGCAAACAAATAAGAATGAGTGTACCCTACAAAACTCTTCAGTGAGGAAGTGAAAAGTAGAGATATAGTGAAGAAGTTGGGTAAAAGTAAAATAAAGATGAGTAGACTTCTGGAATAAAGGGGCAAAGAAGGAGAAAGTGAAGTGCTACAAACAAACAGAAGAGACTCAAGAGTTTGAGGTCAAGAAAGAGAGAGGGATCATGATCATGATCATAGGAAAGGAGTCATGAATACAAGAAGAACAAGGAAAATGTTGATTGTCAAGAAGTTTGGATAAAGAGGTATTAACTGAACTGGAAACAAAGTAGGCATAATGTAACAATCACCTGATGCACATTAGTGATAACATCATGAAAAAATAACATGCTTCCATAGTCCATTGGTACAGGAGCAAAAGATTCCTCAACAGAAACATCTGGGCCTCAGGACATAGAAGCCACGTGAATTTGAGAATTAAATTAAATAAGCAATCCATGAGCTAATTTATTCATTTACATATATAGACACACACACACGCAGACATAAATAAATTAGATAGAAAAAACATGGTGGCTATAAGAAAAGTGAAGCTGTAATAAGGCAGATAGAATGTATATGCAAGAAAGACAAAGGTAGCATAACTAACTAAAGAACAAAAGTTGATTAAAGTGACGGGAAAATGCAAAAGGCACAGGAAAAATCATGTATGAACATGAGAAATGCTAAGAAAAGAATGATCCTATGATCATGTGCTCGTGTTCACAGGGATTACTGTGCATGGAAGTTGTATCATCTTCCTATTGGCCGAGGGCTACAAATAATCAGATAGGTTTATTTAATTAAGTGTTTTTACTAAAGATTTGTCCACAAACTTATGGAGTCACAGTGTTTACTGTTCCGAGTGCAAGGTGATTTTTCATGTTCAGATTAAAAATACTTTTCTTTATCTGAAAAATTTCAAATTTCATTTGAGTAACCTACAAAACCTTTTAAATAAATATCAAATATTTTTTGAGTAAAACTTTCTATTCTATCTGTTATTTTCTCTACCTTAACTCTATTCGGATTTAGTCTATTTGATCAACTTTATAACAACCATAAAAAATAAGTATAAATTACCTTTTTGTCTTTCTAGAATGATTGCAGATTGTAACAAGAAACTACAATTGATTATTTTGAATAGCTTAAAGCATGTAACAGTCTACATCTGTTCCTACTTAATTTTATTGTTCTTTGAACTGTGTCTAATTAATAATTCCATCACACAAGT